TTAATGGCTGATTGACGATATGTTTGCCGTATATATATATGTTTGCCGTCCACAACAATGTGGAATATCCCATTTTTCGGAAAACAATTTTTCTACTTGTAACCATTCATCAGCCTTTTTTTGGTATCTGAAAAAAATTAATGAAAATTGTATAATAAGCAAACATTGTTTCACTTAATTTTCGTTAACTTTTAATATGTTGTATTTGATACATATCTTATCGTTAACTAATATCTCAATATATGTTTCATATAATATTAATATTTTTAAATTGTAAATAATATTAGACAGTGTTTAAATATTTTAAAATCCAGATTGTAACGTCACAAATTCGAAGGTGGACCGTTTATAATTTTTGTTATGTCTACTGTTATTTTATCACGCGAAAGAACCTTTTTCTAGCACAGCGGTGTCAACCACTCATTATTTTGCCGCTGACCGCTAGATAAGGCGATAAAAGAGAAATATAATTAAAATCGAATTGTTTATCAGTATTGATCCCTTCCAAAAAAACTGGCCGTTATCGATTTGAAATTGTCGTTAGATTGGTGTTGACTCTTCTCCATTTTTTCTTCTGTCATTGACCGTGCTAGGGTGCACACATTTATTGATTTATTGACATTTTTTTTTCAATGATGGAGTAGAGCCACCAACGGCAAACGGCCAGGCCTTTTCGGCGAAGCAACCAGACCATCGGATGGGTCTCTTCGTAGACCGGGTATCGTTTTTTTTTTTTTTATATATATTATATTTATGTAATGAACTATATTTTATTAATTATTTTATTTCATTTTTATTTTATCGTAAATTAACTTAATTTTGTTTATATGTGGAGAGCACGTGTTTCCCTTTTCTTCTAGCCAACGCTAAGGAGCGAGTGTCCAGACCACTCCTGGTGTTTTTCATTAATTTCCGATTAACATTAACGGATGTGTTTCAATAACGCCCGTGATGTTTGTAATATTATTTGTTTTTTTTGTTTAAATATTTTATTTTATTTTTATTGCCTTTATTTGTAGACATGGTTTTTGATGCATTCGCATTTTTGTCCATGTTTAACTTAATTTTTTTTTTAACAATTAAATTAAATTTCCTTATTAATTTCAACTGTAATATTTATTTTATTGCGCGAGTAACTTAATTACTCGCGTGTATTTTATCCCTATTCCTTAATCTAAACACGGGCTACGGTATGTTTTACATATCAACCACATACAACTTTGATTGTCATAATTGTGTTTAATAAACTACGTGGTATTATAGTAATTTATACATATAACGACGTATTAACTTAGATTATACTTTTAATTAACTTAAAATTAAATTCCACCTACGGTCCGGTAATCATTTCTGATAGGTGTGACATCTCGCCTAGGTGATGGCGACCCTTGCTACTATAGCTAGTCGTTATGCAAGTGGCAAACCATGTTGTTGTTACAGGCCGAATTATAAAAAATAGCCCACTTGCAAGATAAACTTTTGCGTATCTTTTAAATCGTTTTTTAATAATCTCTTGTTTCATTAAATCTTGATTATATACTCGACAAAGTATTTTGAACATTTGGATATAATTACTAAATATTTTAATTAAAACAGTTACTCTGAAATTAATATAAGTTTTTGAAACTGAATAGGCAAGGACAATTAACAATGGCCTCAATTATTCCGAGTAAAGACTATATTGTATAATTTCATACTTAAATTTAGGGATTAGATAATATTGATAGTGGTGATTTTTTACCCGAAACTGAACTCGAGCAAGACGTTGAAACTATTGATTTAGATGAGAGAGCTTGTTCAAATAATGTTAGTTTGAGCAATACTCCTTCAAGTAATGCTCGGCCTAGTTCTGTGCCAAATAAAAAAAGTAAGACAAAATTGAGCATTCAAAGTATTGAAGGTCGCTTAAATGAAGCGTATGGTGTAATGAAATCATTATCTGAAAAAAAGTAAGGACGTGTGCGAATTATATGGTAAGCTTATTGCTGAAAAGTTAAGGGGTTTTGATGAAAAAACGCGCTTTCTAGTTATGCATGAGATAGACAGCCTTATATTAAAAGCAAAAATGTCTCCTGTATATCAACCCCATACTCTAATTCCAATTTCCAGATCATTATATAATAACGATATTTCTAGACCTGCATCCACTGCTTTTAATACATTTAATTACTCTGAATCTCTTCTCCCGTCAGTTCCTTTTCCATTATTCTCTCAACCACCCTCCACACTATCATTAATTTCTCCAGACACTTCCTCAAATATTCGTTCACAAAATATACTAACTCAAACTACTTTCGACCCTCACACTCACTCAATTTAATAATCAACGAAATATTAATTTACAACCCCATTTGTTATTTAGTCCTAATAATCAAACTGAGAATCAGACACTTACAAATCGAAATTTAGATTTCTATTAAAATTACCTACTATTACATATTAGTAACAAATTAAAATTACGAGTAATTCAAGTAATCGTTTTATAAAATATTAACATTTTTTATTTCTGTTACTTTATGAATATGTTTTAAAAATAATTTTTACATATTGTGAAAGTCGATTTAAATTTTTTTAAATGTATTTATTTATTCTACTTTTATTATTATTTTAAAGTTAAATAGTTGTATTATTCATGTTTGCCACTTAAATTTTAATATCAAAAATATACCTATATTTATACATGTTTTAGTATGCCTTACAGTAAATTTATATATTATTTTTTAAGAAAATGTATTAAATTAATTATATACAAAAATATAGTTTAAAAAAACTAAAAAACACGCTTTTAAAGCACATCGAACTAAAAATTATTTTGAACTTTATAGTTCGATGTGCTTTAAAAGCGTGTTTTTTAGTTTTTTTAAACTATATTTATTTTTCAATTTTTAGTTACATGTTATGATAGTAGTTACTATCAATATCATGGTTGTAACGGGTAAAGGGGAATCAGGGTTCGATTCCGAAGAGGGAGTCTGAGAAACGGCTACCACATCCAAGGAAAGCAGCGGGCGCGCAACGTGGAGGTAGTGACGAAAAATTAGTTTCACCTGTATGTATGTATGTATGTATGTATGTATGTTTGTAACTCTCCAAACGCCACGCGTTATCGCATATTCCGTCGTCTAGACTAGACTGTTATACGCATTCACCCCTCCCCACGCCTCGCTCACCACACGACGGCACACTATTCCTATAAAAATTTATTTTTAGTTATCGTACCCGTACACGCGTGCTTGTCATCAATATTATATATATATAAACAAATTTTTATTTTGACTGACCAATACCGCCCGCGTCTAATGCGCCTTACGTATATATATTTATATATTCCTACCACCGTTTATACCTCAGGTATAACGTTAGTCCGACCCGCCCGCCCACAAAATACGGTTATACCTAGTGCATGATACGTTTACGTACTTAAGTCGCTTTACTTGTATATATATATATATTCTAATTACTATTAAAATTTATTTATTAACACGCTTTATTTTAATTAAGAGATATAAAGTATTCATTCCGATTACGAGGGATGATTTCCGTATCGTCATTTTTCGTCACTACCTCCATGTTCCGTGAGTGAGTAATTTACGCGCCTACTGCTTTCTTTGGATGTGGTAGCCGTTTCTCAGACTCCCTTCCCGGAATCGAACTCTGATTTCCCGTTACCCGTTACAACCATGATATTGATAGTAACTACTACAATAACATGAAACTAAAAAGTGAAAAATAAATATAGTTTAAAAAAACTAAAAAAAACGCTTTTAAAGAACATCGAACTAAAAAGTTAAAAATAATTTTTAAAATAATTATGAACAAAAAATACTATTATTGTGATAAAAGCGTGGGTGCTTTGTGCCATATTTTCGTATATTGAGCGCCTGACGCTTTTATCACAATAATACTAGTATTTTTTGTTCATAATTATTTTAAACTTATTTTAAAAATTATTTTTAACTTTTTAGTTCGATGTGCTTTAAAAGCGTGTTTTTTTAGTTTTTTAAACTATATTTATTGCATTTTTTTTTTTTCAATTGTTTGTACTTAAAGAACTCTCCACACATAATTATGTATGAAACATAAATAGCCATTTTACCACTATCACTAGCCATTTTAATTAACTTAAGGTTAATTAAATAAATAATAACTAAAAATTATAGGGAAAAGTTAAAAAACTATCTTAACTATAAAAATATTTAACTAAAAGGTATCAAAACTAGCAATACTAAAAAATGTATTTCAAATCACTCACTAAAACGTCCAAACACTGCAGCGCCAAAAAAGCAAATGATACATGACTTAATATTTTTCAGACCCCATCCCCAAAACAATTATTTGGTATTTGATCCAGTCGTAGGAATAGTATACTTGGCTTTTATTTATTACTTGTACAAGTGTACAATTACTGGTATAATGGTCAAGTATACTAATCATGAGAACGCTCCACTTGTTAATAATTGGATTATTTGGCAAGTATACAATTATTAGTATACATGGCAACTACACCAGTCGTGGCATTCCGCCTTTAGATATAAACATTTGAAGATTCAAATTTTTTTGAGTTAATATACATATAATATTATGGAAATATTCGCAGGTATATAGCCTTTATTATTAATGGTAATAAGACACATTATTGTGACTTTATTAACACACTAACTGGCAATACAGAAATTATATCTATTGATAGTTATAATTAACAATAAACACTCCGTGAATATGACAGCGATGTCATAAAAAATTAAAAAATTAAAAATAAATATAGTTTAAAAGAGTGTTTTTCAGTTTATTAAACTATATTTATTATGTATATATTAAATACTTTTAGATTCTAGGTATAGTATAAAATGTATTCGACTAATAATTTTGATATTACTGAGGAAATTTTGGTCAAGTAGAGAATTGTATTTTTCTTCTTTACCTTAGATGTAAAATTCTTAAACACATCACTGGACTCAATAACAGTTCATGGAAAATTAAGTAAAAACAATTTAATATAATTAAAACAATATAAACGTATATTTATATAAGTAAATATATATATACACACATCATTTATGACATAATTATTGTTAAAAATAATTGAGTATAAAATATATCGTACATTCAATAAAAAATTACTTTTTGAATAATGTTTGCTCACTACATTTGAAAAATAATTATTTTAAAGTTCTTGTGATAAAAAAAATAAGACAAATATACTCGTTTTTCCTTTTAGTAGGGGTAGTACAGTGGTCTTGGGCCTGTAAAAAAAAATTAGTAAATAAGTACAAAAATAGTTATTATTAGTTTTTACTATTTTAATTTGACTTTGGAAAATGTAAAAAAAAAAGCGACATAATAAATTAATTTTTCAAGCAGAATTAGGAAATAGTAGAGGTTCATTGCACAAAAAAGAAAAAAAAATCCTTAGGATAAAAACTGTATTTTATAAACTCAATTTTATAGGTATAAATTTATCACTCACCAGGCCTAGTATAATTTATAACTAAAAGCTTCTTTTACAGTTTTCTGCTAATATTTTTTTATGTACTTATAATTTGGTGCAGTTTCTCTATTTAATATTATTATAAAAAATATCACACTACAATTTACATTAAATACAAAATAGTGTACTTATAAAAATAGTTTTTATTTTATTTATTATAAAATAATGAACTTCACAATTAAAAAAAAAAAAAGAAACCATAACAGTAAAGTTACGGCATAGATAGGACAAATAAAGATGATATCTAATGTAAATCTTAAATTTCAAAATAATTTTGAGATATTTTTCTAATATTTAAAATTGACTTTTTTTTCGTCAATGATAGATAGAACTGTATTAAAATTCGAGTTGTTTTAACGTAAAGTTCATCAAAATCCTATTAGTAGAGTATATATATTAACAAAAAAAAATAAACACATAATAAAATCAGTACTTTCTCAGCTTCGCATTGAAGCTAAAAAATTTAAATTATCTATAAAGATGTAATGATTACTTATTAATTAAAATATTCGGAATTTGATTCTAAATTATTTATGTAATATTTTTAAACAATTATAATTTTGAATATCTATTTGTTGTAAATAGGTTAGCTTACGAGGATATGGCCAGCCTGCGGGTGGTGGAGCTTGCAGCGGGGGCCGTGGTGGTCTCCAAGCACCCATAGGAGGGGGATAAAGAGGTGGTCGTAATGGAATTAACATTGGTCCAGGATATGGTCTAGGAGGTGGAATTCTAACTCCAGGTTGTGATGAATATCCAGATTGAGGTTGAGATGATGAATAAGATGATTGTTGCTCCTAGGAGAAAATTAATTTTTAAAATCTCATTCAAAAATTTTGCTATTCGTGATTATACCTCTTGTTGAGGGCTGTTAGATTTTGATTGTGACCGTCGTCTATTTTCTCGATTATCTCTCCTCCTGACATCTCGATTACGGGATGTTGAACGTTTCTTACGGTGATCATTATTATNACCGTCGTCTATTTTCTCGATTTTCTCTCCTCCTGACATCTCGATTACGGGATGTTGAACGTTTCTTATGGTGATCATTATTATCTTAATAATAATAATTAATAATATACATAAAAATGTTAATAACAGTTACTAGTTTTTATTATACTTATATTTGGTAAAAAAATACTTTTACTGATTGATTAATAACAGTAAAACTAAAAATTACCTCTTCGTTTTGAAGTTGACCTGATTGGTGGAGTTCTTCTTCTTGGTGAATTACGTCGCCTTCGATCTCTAGACCTGTCATATCGTTGAGGAGGTGATCGCCTTTTTCTTGGATGGTCATTAGAAGTTTGTTGCTTTAATGAAGAAGATACATTTCGCGGAGGAGATAATGCAGACCTTCTTGTAGATCTTTCATTTGGAGAAAATGTCCTATTAGTAGGAGAGGGACTTCTAAAAGATTTACACCGTTTTTCATAATAAACAGGTGAAGAATCACTACGCCTTGGATGACTATCATAACGCATTGAATTATTTTTTGTATGATGTCTGTTATCTATTGTTCGATAACGTGATGTACTTGGAGATCTGGGTTCAGGTGAAGGACTAAAAATAAACATAATTATAATCAAATTAAAACAAAAATTTTTTTGTGCCTCTTTTCTTAAAGATTATATATGAGTTCAATTTTTAGACTTATTTAAAGTTAAAGTAATTTTGGTTTGGTACTTTTTAATTTCAAGTTCAATTTTCCAACTGAATCTAACATCCTAAGTTCAGTTCAATTCGAAAATTAAACATTTTGAACATAACTATTGAATAAATATTTTTTTCCACTTACTGCTCTAAAAAGTTTTCGTGTCTCTTTTTACTAGCCCGACCATGAAAATTTTCTGATCTTAAACTTCTTGATTCTCTATGAACACTATCAGGATCCACAAAACAATCTAAATTTGGAGAGTACGGCAAAGGAGGAGAGGGAGGTCGATTATTCATTAAAGGGGATAAACTACAATCATGTGACTGTCTACAAGGACTTAATCCGTAACAATTTTCTATAAAAATTAATTATTATTATTATATCATACTTTAAAACTAAAAAAAATCAATTACTAACCAACATGATCATAATGAACAGGGTTAGGATTTAAATGAGTTTTTCGGTCATCAACATGCTCATGATTCTCACCTATTTACATAAGAAAAAACCAAATTAGTATGTAAAAATGTTATCTAGACAACTTTTTAAGAAATTATAAATGACAAAAAATGATATAAAAAAAAATTTGAGGCCACTATTTCTTTATTTTTTTAAGTTCGACATTATAAAAATATCAAAGGTGTATTTTGTCTTACCTATCACTTATCTTGGTTTTTCTTATTTATAAGTAATCAGTTTCATTAGATAAATATTTATTTAAAACTAGAAATAATTTGTGACAGCCAAAATTGATTAATATTTATAAACAATAATAGTTTTAAGGGTGAAAATAAAAATAAATCATTTTCATGCTTTATATTTAACATTCAAAATTTTTATTAGATAAAACAAATTGGCACAAAATTTTGAAGATTAGAGTTAATTTTTATCATTTATTGAAATTGAAATGTGATGACATGCAAGTTCAAAAGTATTAACCAAAAATAATAGCACTTATTTTTTTTAAATTAATTATTTTAATATAAGATTAGCTTTAAAAAAATGTGTTTTTTTTTTATTGTACATTATATAGTTACACTAACATTTATTATGAATCCATAGACGAATAATTGATTTTAAATGTTTAAAAGTGCTACAATTATTGTAATATAGACCCGATAGACCAGGAGGCTTACTTATTATAACTAAAATAAATTTACAGGTTTATTATATTAGTAACCCCTAATAATTAAATTTTCCTCAAACTATTGTATTGATGAGCAAAAAAATTTTCTGTGTAAACAATAATGCGGCCCGAATATGCCTCAATCTGCACCTGTTAGCTGACAGTGTTTTTAATAAATAATATTGTATTTTTGACATTTAATTGGCACATTTGATATTAATATAAATAATATTATGTGTAACAAATCAACATTTTTGATAATAATACTGAGAAAATAAAGATATTAACTGATAAAATAGCCAAAGGTACACTCTTAAAACTCATTGAATTTTAATATCACAGAACTGTGTGATCTGAACATGTAATTAATTTCATATATCCAGAATTTTTAATAATTTATTTCATTTTTTAATTGTGCTAAAATTATCATAAAACATTTTTACATACAATCAACACTGACATGAAAATTAACATAATAGTGTTACATTTTCTACTGTAATTGGTCTTCTTTTGGTAATAATTGTTTTTGAAAACTAGGTTCTAATCAGAATAAGATAAACTACTCGGATAATTGGCTTGGTTTTAATATGCATCCTGTATTAAGGGATTGTTTTTTAGTGTTAGATCATTGAAGTCTTTTACACGCTTTAACAAAACTTCAACATTTGTCCAGATCTAATTTAATCTTTGTCCTCATTTATTCATTAGTATCAGAGATATTCCTTTTTAACCACTACTGATCAAGTCTTCCTGTATTTATTTTACTGATCGAGTTTCTTAACTGGAAATTCTGTGCACTACTGATATTCTCTCAACACATGTGACTGGCCCATTCTAATTTTTTAGTTTTAAAAAATTTATTTAATTTTATTTAAAGTATTTATATATAATTTTTCATTTTTTATAAAATACATTTTTATTTTGAATAGTTTCTTTTCATCTCCTCGTGTTGTGAAAGGCAAGATTAAATAAATATTAAGAGTAAATTGCAATAAAATTTTCATCGATGGCATATTGTGATATCTTCTACTTGTTTATTCTGTATCATCAAATAAAATGATTTATCAATAATGATAATAATCTATTGATTTATTCAACAATTGTGTCTGAAGAGAAGTAGAACTTGTACTGTAATTCCTTATTGATCCATAGAGCTAGTCACTAAAGTCTGGTTACTAAATAAAAAATGTTTTTAAGTAAAGTTAATTAAAATTTAAGTTAAAAAATATTGAATATTTAATCAATTATGAAAAAAAATTAAAGTTAATAAATTATAATGAGATCAAAATAAGTTATATTTAAATATTTAAGAAAAAATAAAAATTAAAAATTAATTTAAGATATCATTACTAGTAATTTAATTAATTATTAATAATAGCAATATTAAAATGTAATTTAAAAATTAAAAGAATTTTCCAGTATTATAGCAGTATAATGAATCATATCGACATACCAGATTAGTGACTGAAATGAAGGAAGCATAACCAATATCCATCCATCATAGTCATTGAATTTTTTCCTTCAATAGTAGTAACTGCTTGTCCATAAAATAAAATTAAAATTAAAAAAAAAAAAAAAAAGAAAAATACTTTTGATTCTTGAGTAATGAAATTAATATAGCATTCAATAACAGATTAGAGGTATTTTAAAGTTATTTTATTTTATTCGAAAATATAAAATTAATTTAAAATAAAAACATTGATTCAAATATTTTATTAACTATAATGAAGTAAAAAATGTTATTTAATTAAATTGATAGAAATATTTATTATTTTTCTAGATAATAAATTAATTAAGTTATAATTGAAAATTAATAATGTTTTAAAATTAAGTGAAATAATTGTGATATCTTCGTGTTGTTGAACACTTAAACATGTAGGTTGAAGATCTATTTTGAAGCTGAACTGTCTAAAAATTCTCAAATAATTTGAACCAAACATAAATCATATTTCTAAAAGTTTTATGTAATCAAAAAAAACTACAAAAGTTTTAATTTTTTTATGATTATTATTAGTTTAGACACAAAACAATTTTCCATTTAATTTTAAACAAAATTATTGTAATTAAAAGTTTCTTTCCAATAATGTAATTAATAATAAGAGCATATGAAATCCTTCAAAATCAGATCACCTACCTTTCACTCTAGGTACATGATCTTCAACTACATATGCTTTACGGTATGAATCAGTTTGTTGCACATCTGCCCTAATCATTTGAATTCGTATTGATTTAAGTTTATCTTTTTCCAAATCATGTAAAACATCAGTTTCAGGACCTCTAAATATAGGTTTTTCAGGAACATTTTGAGATAGGTGATATCTATTTAATATTTTACACAATAATGGTAATCAATTAGTCAATACAAACTTAACAAATTAAATTTCTAAGTTTCAGCTACACAACTACTATACAATGTAAAAATACTTGTAGTCAATTCAATCATATTATTAACTAAATAATTTAATAAATTAATATATCCCATTTTTTTTTTTTTGCTTCAGAATGGAATGAACAACTATGAATGAAAATTTCATGAGTTTCAAGCAAGAAATTTTACAAATAAGTGTTCATCAATTTTTTTAAAATGTTTCAAGTTTATTTTTACAAGTAAAATTAATGATCAAAGACTATATGCAATAAATAAGTACTTTTTGTTTAAAATTAAAATTCTATAAAAATTCAATGTTCATTATTTACATCAGCTATATATTAATTTAATTATTTTTTCTATAAGTTCATAAAGTTTTCATCAATTTGGTTTAAATTCAAAAATATATAATAAACTTGTTCTATGAAAAAAAAAAAAAAAAAAAAACTCAAGTATTTTGTTTTATTTATAAATATATGAATTATATATGTTTAAGTTATAGTAGAAGTTTTAAAGAAAGGTAAAATTTGTTTTCTAAATAATCTTGAAATAGTAAATAAAACAATATTAAAAAATAGATTTTTTCATAAAAAAAAAATATATACAAAAATAAACTATTTTTAAGAAAAATGAGTTTAAAAACAAATCTCTTTACTTTAAACACCATGTGATAAAATAAAATAATTTCTATGAACAGAATTGAAATTATTTTTTAAATACTAACAGGAAATTTTTTACAATATAAACTATTAAATAACATTTGAAAAAAAGCAATATCATAATTCAGTCCTATAAAATTAAGAGTTTGATTATATTAAAAAATCAATTGATATTTACCATAAAAATTTGTTCAATATTTTTGATTTACAAAAAATGTAGTTAACTTCCAAGTGTCATATAACCTACCTATCAATCGAAGGAACAAAATGTTTTACAATTTGTGTATTTTCTTCTAGATCTGGTTTTAAAATACTCCCATTTTCTCTAAATACTGACATTGATGAATCTAATTTTTTATACTCATCATCATTATTCATTAATGGAGGATTTTCCGTATGCCTAAATTTATAAGATGAAAGATTACTTTAATACTTATACTGTAAACACACACAATTACTAACATAGATCTCTGATTATGGTGTCCATGCCTTGAGCTTCCATTAGTTTGTTTAGTAGTAGTTACTGAATGAGGCGATATTCTTCTGGATGTACCACTATCGCTTCTAAAGATATTCATTTTGAATAATCAAAAAATAACAAATTTGGTTTTTATTTTTTTAATGAACCAAAAATATATAAAATCAGCTTTCAAAGGTATTGATTTCGTATTTTAAAATTTCTATTTAAATGTATCCATAATAGAATTCAGTTATATTTACGATAAAACACATGTATGTGTATAAACAGTTTCATAGATATAAAACAAAAACGAATGTTCAATCGGTATACTAAAGGTAATAAATATTTATTTAAATTTCAATATGTAACACAATTACTTTATATTTAGAACAGAAAAATTCATCTTTTATACAACAATTTAATTGATAGGGGGAAAATTGAGTATTACATTAATATGATAACAAAATTGTTAAATGATGTGTATAGCTATTGAAAACTTGTTTTAAGATAATAAATTTGTCTACCACAATTTGTTATTGCTTTTATTATTTTGCAATAAGCCATAAAGTATCATGACACAAATACTTTCATAAATATAACAGTGTTATATATAGGTTTTTATTGTAATGTATTATTGAAAATAATAGCTTTAAATAGAGCATTAAGCATTATACTTATTATTTATATTTTATATGGAAAGTCAAAATACTATTATTATCATTGATAACTGCAAAATAATTTTATTGATAAATATAGGTTATCAAAACTAGTTGTAAATTTATTTAAAGAAATTAACAATTATTATTTTTTTTTAATTTAATACGTAAAATCTAAATTATACCTTATTTTAACTTTTTTTTAACCTCTCTTACTAATTTTCTTAGCCAATAAAAGAAGAAATGGGACGAATTTTTTTGATTTTCGTAGATTAAAATTCTGCTCTTTCTCTGATCGTCGCGATCCTGGACAGGTCTTATTATTTTACGACCTCTACGAATTTTTCAACTTTGGGTCTGTAATTTTGATTCGTGAATTTCGAAATTTCATGGAACACGAAACGATGCGAACTTGGATGCGTTATCGTCGAAGTAGAGCTTAACGAATTTTTGCCGTATCATCGTTATCGCTTTGGTTTTGTTGTTTTCTTGGCAATATTTTTTTATAACGCATTTCTGATCGTCTGTCATGGCTTTCTCTATGTGCGTCCGTTTGTCTGTGCTGGTGAAAAATAATTTTCGTTCGTTTTACGGTAACGACAGTAGTAATCGAATTGAATTCGTAATTATTGAACAGCGTCCTTTGTATCTGGATGACTGCGCTGGGGATTGTTGACCGTTATCGCTATTGGATATATTGCATGGGTAATCCATATTTATTTATTCGATAATATTAATTTCAGTGAATTTTATTATTTAGCATACATTAATTAATCATTAGGTTTATGAGTGTTTTATTTATTGGTGCAATATGTGCTACATTATTTTATGTAATCCATACATTCATTATATATATTTATACTCTTGAACGCGATAAACAATTGTATAGTAATTGTAATTATGATATATTTCTTTGTTGATTTTAATAATAGTCATAACAGTATTTATTAATTACTGTGATTTGTAATTTTTAGGCTGTGTGTCTTTCTTACCCTCATGACTGTGCTGGAGAATGTCGGCAGTCATTGCTATTTTAATTATTGCATAGGTAATTAAATTTCAATTGTTAAAAAAAAATTAATTGTTATTTACTTTTCTTAAAGTAAAGTTCATTTATTACTTTTTAATCAATTAATATTGCATATGTTAATCATTAGGTTGATTTGTATTTCATTTATTGGTTATTATGTGCTATATCAGTATACATCTTGAATGTGTAATTGATTATTTTACAGAAATTACAATATCGATGATTGTATAATGTTATTGATTAATTTAATTTTTTTAATTTTCAGGCTGCATCTGTTTTGCAATGATGACTGCGGCTGAATGATAACTCACCCAGTAAGCCAAGAGTGCCGGCTCTTTTTGATAATGGATTTATTAAACAAGTAATGTGTTTAACGATTTTACAGTAACTATAATTTTTAAATTATTGATATTATGGTAATGGCAGTTTTGTTATTTCCTTTATAATTATTTATTGAAACGTACGATTGATAATTTTATAGGGATTGCAATATTGATATAATTTTTAATTGATGACTGTATAACGATAATGATTATTTTCATTTTTTAAATTTCAGGCTGTATCTGTTGTGTCCTGATGGCTGTGCTTAAATAACATCCAAGATTGCTGGCTTTATTTTATAATGGATTTATTACAGTGGTAATTATTTTTCTTTATTAAATAAAGTTAGGTGACCATTATTTTATCTATTGGTGACTACAATGTATGATATGTGTTGAATAAATTCATAAATTTTTGTGTGCATATTTATTTATTCATACTCATGAACTTCTTTCTGGTGTTCTATTGTAATTATTTTTAAATTTGTGTAATTGATAATTGTTGTACAGCAAGTACAAATATTAAATATTTATTTTTTTATGATTGTACAACAATAATGATGGTATTAATTTGTTTTGTGAATTTCAGACACTGTGTGGCCTGGGAAAACACAACATTTTTATTTCCGTTGTACCCATGACGTGTTGATTGTTCTGCGCTGTTGATTTATGTTGATCTCTTAGCCTCCCATCACTATAAAGGTACTGTATAAGTATAGTTATTGGGCCACTTGAATAATTTTTTTTATGATTTCATCTTCACTTTTAGATTGAGTTTCAAATTGACTGCCATTGTTATTATTCTCTCTCAGTAACGCCTTGCTGTCAGATACATTAATAAGCATTGTCTGCTTCTAGAGCTCATTGAAAATGCCTACAGACTTTCCATCAATTATACTTTAATATTATTTTTTAATTGACTTTCAATTTAACCCACCCATTGTAACCATATATAAAGGGTGGCCTACAACTCACTGACAACTTAAATAACTTTTGATCCAGTTAATATTTTTAGTTGATTTTTTTTTTTAAATAATAATTATACATTAGGTCTATAGCTATATCTCAATAATTAATTTTTTTACATTTTATTAAAAATATTAATTATTTTTAAATTTTAAATAAAATGTAAAAAAAAAAATCTAAGATAGCTATTTTGTAGAGTAGAATTTAAGAAAAATTTTAGTAAAAAAATATCTTATTAATATTCAGTAGTAAATATTCTGTAGCGTTTTGAAGTTTGTGAAAATTTGAATTTTCATGTACTATTTTACGGTATTAAACATTGAAATACGTATTGAGAAAAGGACAGAAGAAAACGCTATCTTTTCATGATTACTGTGTATACATATGATGATAATGTGTATACATTACAAACTTGGCATTAATACCATGATAAGAAATTAGATAAGGCAATTATTACTTATCTTTCTCATTCAAAAGTATAAGTCATTTTCATGGAAAAAGTTACACACCTCCAAATTATAGTAATCATGAAAAGATAGTGTTTTCTTCTGTCCTTTTCTCAATACGTATTTCAATGTTTATTACCGTAAAATAGTACATGAAAATTCAAATTTTCACAAACTTCAAAACGCTACAGAATATTTACTACTGAATATTAATAAGATATTTTTTTACTAAAATTTTTCTTAAATTCTACTCTACAAAATAGCTATCTTAGATTTTTTTTTTTACATTTTATTTAAAATTTAAAAATAATTAATATTTTTAATAAAATGTAAAAAAATTAATTATTGAGATATAGCTATAGACCTAACGTATAATTATTATTTAAAAAAAAAAATCATCTAAAAATATTAACTGGATCAAAAGTTATTTAAGTTGTCAGTGAGTAGTGGGCCACCCTGTGTATATATATATATATTTTTTTTTTTGTTCCTGCGTGAAAAATAATAGAATTTTTTTAAATACTTATTATTTCTAAGTATAAAATTTTAAACTTTAAGTTTATAGTTTTTATATTTCAAGTTAAATAATAAATTCGTAATACATCATTTATTATACTGTCAAATTAAAAATGTTTTTAGTTAAATTGAGTTTTTTGTGTCTTAAAAGGAAATATAGTTATATAAAAGTAAGATATTTTATAAATCCCAATTTGATTAGACTTTAATAATATTATATGCATTGAGTTAGTAATGTTAACAACAAAACATTTAAAAGTGAGAAATAAACTCTCCTATATATATATATTTCTCATGTGTCAATGATGTTTTTTTTATTGCTGTATACTTGATATTTACAATGATTTTTATACTCACCAACGGCATATAGTATTATTGTAATTTGTAACATTATTTGTTTAATACTGTTATTTAAATTGCTTTGAGCAATTCCACACTGATTTTCAGTGCAATTGTGTGCTTATTTGTGTAATCAAAGTAAATTATTAAACATGAATATTATTTTTTACTATATTATTATTTCATTAATTAAACTAATTAATTCACGTAGATACATACGTGAGGATTATCTTATACGACATTTCACTTGCTATGCTTCATTGGTGATAAATATCAATTAAATATGACACATAATTATATTGTTTAAATGATATATTCACAATTCTATCACTTTTAAACTTGCAAGTTACAATAAATTATAATTTTAAGTTTTGTCGTCACTATTGTGTATTCAATATATTTAATATAATGTTTATTTTAATGTATAAATAAATTTCATCTAGTGTAGACAGTTTGAAATATTGTTAGCAAAATGTATATGATATGTACTTATACTATTATTTTATATCTCTTAAAGGAATTAAAAAATATTGACTGTTTTTAATTATTTTAATTTCAAAGCGTGACACATTTTACTAATAACCATTGTAATATGTCGAAGGGTTTCATAACTATTATATTACATATGTGATCAAAAGTAATAAAGATGATTTTCAGTTGCAACTATAGATATATTTTAATTTATGTTTGATTAAATTTTACCTATTTTTGCTGAAAAAAAGATGCTTTTTGTTGTCTATTATAACAATATAAAATTGTGCAAGAGCCAGAACATAGTACTAAGAATTTGTAATCATATTCATGTACTCATACTTAATTTATTTTTAGTTTACTGTAAATTTTCTTAGCTTTAAACAGAAAATGTGTTCTACATTATTTTGTTAAATAATTTAATTTGTTAAAAAATCATTTATATTTGTTTGGCTTCTAATTATGTTACTCTCATGTATTATTGTGGACACAAACAGAGTAGCCCACTGTTATTTCATATTGTGATAGTGACGAGTGTATTACAACAAGGAGTAGATTGTCTTAGCTTGCTGCAGAAGCAAGTGTAACTGTTCCATTGCAATGCATTGAGCACGTTGCACTTTCGCAA